CACACACACACACACACACACACACACACACACACACACACACACACTAGTAGTGCTTGATATCCCAGTGGTGTGTCCATTCTCTCTCTCTGTCCATTTTCATTAATAGAAGCAGTAGCGTGGCCGGTGGTGGCAGATGAGCAGATTAGCGTCGTGTATTACGAAAGCAGATCACATTGAAGGATCAAGTGTTTTTAAGAAATTAATTTTTACAGGATGCAATTAGAGTGACATCATTAATAAACAAACTTCAGTGACTTTGGAGGGGATGCATCCCCTCATGCTGTCTCTTTCTGTTTCTCCGTGCTTTTTCTAATTTTCACTCTCTTTAGCTGTTGCTCGTCTGCGTCTCAGTTCCCTGTTCAAACAGCAGAGAAATTCTCTTGAATACAGATCGCTTCCTCCTTCAGCTGAAATGACTGAATTCACGGACTTTGCCAAGTATCGATTTTAAGGCAGAACGCAGCAGGAGAAAGTTTCTCTTCTGTACTCTTCTATTATTTCAAATGCAGCCCACAAGTAAGATAATAACAGTCCCAAGTAAACACACAAATAGCGTTGCTGATTGTGCACCGATACACAAATTAAACATGTTTGTGTATTCATTCCGTCTTACAGTATAAATTGTGTACTACATCAGCTTCTTTTTTTTATCTTCCCGCCCCCTACTTCTTCATCTGCACAGCTTCAGCTGATCAGTGACTCCATTCATTCCAGGTCAATTTGGGCAGTGTGCTAGATATGGCCGTTTCATTACACACTTCCTTCCTGTCAGCCTCTCCGACTCTGGTGAGAAGACGGAGAGACTGAGTGGGAGCAAGGGAGGGACAGGAGGGAGAGGGAGAGAGAGAGGAAAGGCAGGATTTAAGTGGGAGAAAAAGCATAAGGGAGGTTAGAAAGATGAGAACAAGAGAGGGAAAAGGCAATAAAGGAACAGAATGAGGGAGATGGAAAAGGTGTATGTGTGGTGAAGAGAGGGACTTAAGCGGAATATGATGCATAAGTGTGGGAGGTGGAGGATGAGAGATTAGGAAGATAGAAATCAGGATGGCATAAAGGACAGAGAACGACAGGGTGTGCCTGATTTAGATAAGAATAATAGAGCCACAAGGAAGGACGTGCAGAGCAGAAGGAAAATGGAGGTGAGGGAGGAAAAGTGGGGAAGTAGTGAAGAATATAGACTGCAAGGGAGAGTAGCAGAACGAAGCGGGAAACATGGATGAACGGAGAAATGTGGAGACAGGAAGGAAGGAAGGGGAGGCAGGAGGAAGAAAGGACAAGGGAGAGGATGTGAAGGAGGAAAAGAGGGTTAGAATAGAAAGAAGGGATAAAGTGAGGCATGACTGAAATGATTCATTTCAGCCGTCTTCTTCACACTTTATAACAAAATGTTTTATATTAATATTAAAACAAACTTTACAGGAACAGGACTTGTCGTTAATAATTAACCATTAATTATCATTCATTCACTAAATTGTATTTCCTGCCCTTTTAAATCTCCAGTCTGTCTGGCCCAAGGCTGCCTCCATTAGAACCAGAGATTTAAAGATCATTTCATCAATAAGGAAGGTCTAGTTATAAGAGAAACTCAAATAACCCACATGGTCTCACACACACACACACGTGTGATGACACCCTTCAGGAGCTGAGGTCTGACAGCTCACTGTGTCTGTCAGTACAACACTCTCTTATTCAAGCTCCAGATTCTTATGAAATTATTCTGCTCCTCACCTCATCTTCCTTCTTTTTCAATATTTTTTTCTCCTTCAGCCTCTTTTGTGTGCGAGTGTTAAATGTCAAACGGTTCAACTGGAACAGCCATGGTCACTAACGAGCAGCCAAGAAAGAAAGGAAGTGTAGAAAACAGAGGAAAGAGATCCTTAACTCTGTCCCTGGGTTAAGTGTTTCTCAGCAATCAGGTCAGCTATTTTTGGGGGTCGGATGTCGTTTAAAAAACGGCGATACCAATACCAGCATCCTTATAGTGACGCAGACACAGAAAGCATCTAATGCAGGTATCAATTGACTGGAGACGTTTTGATACTTTGTACCTGGTTACCTACATTATATTACTTACATATTATACCTTTTATCACTGATACCCAGCCCTACTTATTTTACATCAGTGCTCAGTTCAAGTCTACGCCAACAGAACCAAAACATGTGACTCATAAACTGCGTCTCCTCTGCTTTTAGATTCTGGCATCCTAGTGTATGTGTGTGTAGATGTGTGTGTGTGTACGTGTGTCTGTGTGTGTGTATGTGTATGTGTATATATATGTATGTGTACGTGTGTACGTGTGTGTGTGTGTGTGTGTGTGTGTGTGTGTGTGTGTGAGGACAGCAGTAGATGGCATGAGACAAAAGAGAAAAGGAAAGTGAGAAAGAGATTCAGCATCAACTTTTCCCCTTGGGATTGGTCGTCATGGCTACAAAGCATTTTCAGCTGAAGGTGGGACAAACATGAGGAAGAGTGAGAGACACACACACACACACACACACACACACACAGACAGACAGAGAGATAACACCGATATACTGTCACTGCACCATTGTTTGACAGGATAAAACTGTAAATTGTAGATTGCATGAAGTATTGTACTTTTCAGCGTATAATACAACTTCAATCCGACTCATCTAAACCTCCAAGATGCACTTACAAAAACACCCCTCCCGTATAAACTGCAGCACTGCAGCTAGGTAACCGCGGGACACTCGATCTCCAACAGAAAACACGTAAGGCAGCAGGAAAAAAAGCTGTGACCCAATACGCACCCTATGAACTCCGATGGAAAACAGAGACCGACGAGAACAAACGGCATCGAGAGACTACAACGTCTCATCTTACAAGCAGACAATCACACTCCATCTATATTTCAAAACCTACGGAAAACTGTGACAATGGGCTGTCATGATCTAAGATTAGTGGAGGGCGCCTTTAATGAGGAGGAGGAGGGCACAGAGGGGTTGTGTTTCCGTGCTGGCAGGCTAACCGCCGTGTCACCTGAGGGGCAATTTGTCGGAATTCTGTAACAAACCTCGAGGAAGAGTAATTGAACTTGTGCATCAAATCCAGTTTTATGAAATGTCTGCTTCATCTAACCAACAGAGAGAAACGATGAATTATTGGTGGACTTTTAAACTAATTAATAACTTTCACTTCCTTCTGACACTCTAGCTTGCCACGACTTTGAGATATTTTACTTGTATCAGCAGTTTGTTGACGATTTACTCCGTGTTTCTGAAAACGGTGTACGTGTGCAAATTATTGTGCACAACACAGGACACGCCTGTCTCGTTTTTTCTCTGCAAAAGGTTTGTCAATATTTGCATAAAGTACAGCCAACATTACTGCTCATGAATTATTTATGGAGACTAAAGAGAAGAGACTTGTAAGGGCTGGTTCTGCTTGACAGTGTTGCCATGGAACAACCAAGTGTGTGTGCGAGAGAGTGTGAGAAAGAGAGAGAGAGAGAGAGAGAGAGAGAGTGAGTGTGTGTGTGTGTGTGTGTGTGATGTGCTCTACTGCGCTCACCGGCAAAGTCACTGCTTTCTCAAGGACACTGCGGCTAAGGGGCAAGAAAGAGAGAAGGGATGACACACAGGAAGAGGAAGCAACAAGGAGGCAGAACGACATAAAGACATTTAGTGATAGAAGGCCAAGCGAGATGAAACAAATAAGCAGAGAAAACTGACAAAAGAAATTGAGAGTGGGGTAAATATCGGATGAGAAAAGTGTGACAACAAGAGGGCGTAAACCAGAAAACATTGTTTGGCTCATTACCTTGAATCTGTTCCAAAATACAAACTAGGGCTGAAGCTACAGATGATCGTCCACTGAGCAGCAGCAGACATGTAGTACTAATGTCATGCACACTGAGGAGCAGGGCCTGGGAGCGTCCTTTTCTGCCTCACCAGCGATCCACTAAAAACCTCTACAGCAATCAATTATTTACACTTAAACACACGCACGCAAACCCCAAAACACTCCCACTGAGATGATAGCGGGGGAAGGCTGCATAAAAGCCACTTAACAAACATAAGTAGGCAGTTTACCCAAGCAGCGAGTGAACTCCGCAACCACTTGGACCACTAGCCCCCCTGACCAGCTGTGATACAAAGATGTGTCTAACGTGGAGGCAACCTCGGTGGTCATCTAGAATACAGAGGACCAGACCACAGGAGGAACGCGGGGCTTGTGATTATTCAGATACACAGAGATATACAGACGGAGAGAAATACGAGTGGATTTCGTTATTCTATTACTCACCTCCCCTCTTTCCTCCAATCTGTCTATCTGCCCACTTCAAATTCAGCGTCTGTCAGCCGGCGCGCGTCTGTCTGGAGTCACGATGTCAGAGCGGGCAGGGTTCGGTACCTGAGAAGACAGAAGTTTAAAAGGTCAGTTAACATCAGCGCGACAGCACTTAAGGATCATGTTCAGCTTGACATCAGGGAAACGCTCACCCGCTGACATCACAGAAGCAGTCAAAATAAGGATATACTTGTTTACCTAAATATTAAAATGTGTCCTCGTGCAACGGCACTCACATAAACACAAGCATGTGCACGGAGTGACACTCCACTGCTATCCATCTAAGGTACAAGGGGGGGGGGGGGGGACAGACACTTAAAGATGAGAGGTTGAAAGACTAAAACCTCCATTAGCTAAGAGTATATTTATTCTCTCTGCAATAAGAGTATACTTATTTTTGCTTTGAAGTATGACTGATTGACTTATGCACATAGCAGACCCTCATTTTGAAAGTACTTTTCAATCTTCTTCCTGAAAACAGCACCAGGAAGACCAGAGGAGAACTACTGAGGGCAGAGGAGACAGGGCCCAGGTGCTCTGTAAACGAAAAATAATATTAAAAAAAAGAAAAAGAGGAGTAAAAGAAGAGATTATAAGAAGGGACAGAAACTGAAAGAAATGACTGGTGGAAAAAAAACAGAAGTGTGTAAACACTCACTGACCGGAAAATTGAGACCTGTCCCTGCAGAGAAAGTGGGCCCTCCCTTTCTCATTTGCATATGGGCCGCTACGTAAACACACGCATGCAACATCAATTCCATTTTCCACATCTGCTTTCCATGCGAACAGATTGCAGAGAGGGAGCCTGAAACGTACAGCGTTGTATAACAGACTTCCAGAGAATGTAGTTTATTCCTGAAGGACATGGTTGACTTCGAGAAAAGCGGCCTGTTAGCATGTCCGCCAAATTCTCCCAAATATCCGAAGCTGGTCTAAAGCACCGCTGACCCGTTCTTCTTTTATACGCCCAGCATGGCACGGGGAAAGTGGCTTACTTTACATTAAATGTGACATGATGTACAACCGTACTGTAATAAACACCTGTACTGCCAAACTACTCTGCATAGACTACATTTTTAACAGAAAAACAGTTATTAAATATTCAATCGGCAGGGCTCAACACTAACTTTTAAAAGTGGTTGCCAGGCTGGCAGCAGTCATAATGCAAGAAATATTAAAAATGTCTATATTTTGGGGTGCAAGTTTTGCCATTTGCCATCCGTACTTTTTATATGTTAAAAAGTTGTAACCAAGAATTGCCAATTTCTCAAAAAGGGTCCCAATGGCAACCTGGCAACCCTTCCTGCAGAGCCCTAATTGGTTTCAGCTGCTTCTATTCTCATTAACCCTCCCACCATTGTCCTCACTACCATTCTCATAGTCACTGGAGATTTAACTGTGAAACAAAGCTACAGTCACACTTAAGAACTGCCTGCACTGTTAATCAATGTTGTATCATCTTCTCGCATGTTACTTTCTGAACATTAGTCTAATTAAGTTGTGTTTTTTTTTTTTTTTAGATTGTCCTCTTTCTTCTATTAGCTAAAACATCTTTCGGCGCCATGAACGGACAACAAGCTCGCGTAATTAAATTATCTTGTTAGGTTTACTTTGCAACATTGTAAATCAATAAGAACAACCCTCACTGCTGGACTACTGGGAAATATCAAACTGCTTTGCTCATTATTTATGAGCGGAGTTAAGAAAACGCATGAAACAGCAATAATCCTTATCTGTATATAGTGCTTTACAATGCATAAAATACAATAAATAACATTACGTAATACGTGTCCCTCCCTGTGTCGTCAAGTCTGACAGTAATGATCCGGACAAACCTGATACAACGAACAGTCGGCGGTGCACCCTCCTACAAATATGAGACGCATTCCCACGGCCAAGAAAATCAAAGCACAACAGTCGTGCGGTATTAGTGTTGTTTGGGGAAGCAGTCACACCTCGTTTAATAGGACATAACTGAGGTGGGTGTTGGTTGGTGTAGATGTAATGCCATGGTCCTTCAAGGCAAACAGGTTTCCAGTCACAACCTTCACACACACACACACACACACACACACACACACACACA